AATTGGTCGCATAGGTAAGGGTCCCCTCAAGCCGTTTACGAAGAGATGGGTCGGCTCGCTTATATCACTAATATGCTTCATTTTAAATGCCTATACGTAAGACCTGTTTCGCGTAGGTATGTACGCTCGTAATCACTAAAAGACCATTTTTTCCTTCGCTGTAGGACTGCAGTGATTGCACTCATGACCAGCAAGTGATTAAGTAAAGACCAACAGTACAGATAGGTATTGGTCAAGGTTATAGGCTTATATAAGTCAGCAAATGTGCACATGGTTCTGATTGTAATCCGCACAAGACTGTAAATACATAATTGCACGCACGCACGCACATAGTTATTCACAACCTCCGCGAAATTACCAATGCGTCTCGCGTAAAACCGAAAAAGAGCGTGACGAAAAATAGACGGAAATCGGTTGATCCGTCCATTGCATATCTCACAATAGAACAAACAATTTTCAAGAGAAATGACCCGTTATTTCGATGCACGTAAATCATCACCACTAAATGTGAGACCACAGTTGTTCACCAGCTGCTCTGGGAGAATATGGGTAAGCTAGATCACCTGTGACGACCTCATGTGACGTCACAAATTAACCCGCGCCGGGCCGGGGGGGGGGGGGTGTTTGAACACCCCTCCCCTGCGGTTTTTCGCAGATATCTCAAAAACGACACCTGTTCGTGCATCTTTTCCGCACATGTTGTAAAAACTTCAGACCCAGGTCACCTTAGGTCAGGTCACCAAGTCACGCCAAGTGACCTCACCTCAGAAAAAAATAAGAATGCTCGTCATAGCTACACCGACTGAACGATTGCCTTGAAACTTTCAGCGATTGATAAGAGCAACACTATCTATAAAATGTATATCTCGGAATTTTGATATCGGTGACCTAAGGTCAGGTCAATTTTGCGGCCTCTCCATTATAAGTCAATGGGAGAAAATTGAAAAGCGTCTGTTTTGCACGAACGCTACTCTAGACACTGTCAAACATCGAGATGTAGGTAAAATTGACACACTGAACCAGAAAATGGCAACTGTGACCCCTCGTTATGTCCCCGGGGTCATCTCAGGTCACGAACAGAATCTAACAGTTTTCGCTAATAACTTCTGATAGAGGCGTGCTAGAGCGCTGAACACGCCTTAGCTGTGTTCGTCTCGACGTTGCGGATCGACTGATATACAACATGACCTTTTCCGGTCAGGCCATGACCTTGACCTGAGGTCAAATTTTCAAGTTGACCTTTCAAGGTCAAATTATAGTTCATTCGACGCGTCTCGACGAGAGGAACACGATGCTGGCAAAAGTAATGCCATGGCTCTTTTGAGTCAAAAGATATTGCCGAAAAAACGCTTTTCGTAAAAACGGCTATTTTTGGAGTTTTTGACCTCTAGAGGCTAAACCGTTGACCTGAGGTCAAATCTGAGAACATTACTCAGAAAGGTCTGTAAAAGGGCTATCGAGTGCGCTTTTCTGCTGCGCTGTAGCTCTATCGGTTCCTGAGATAGCCGTTGGCAGTTTGCAAAATGTTAAAATAGTCAACATTTTACCTTTGGTGACCTCTGGTGACCTGACCTTTGACCTTTCCCAAAAAATGACCGCAGTGTTTTCGTCCTTATTTTGGACGTTCTTTCGATTGCCGCTTACCGCGTGTCGCTACGTGGCCCAGGAGCCGAGTTAGAAGGGGGGGGGGTGTTCAGACACCCCCCCGGCCCGGCGCGGAATCTCAGAGCACCGGCCCGGCGCGGGTTAACAGTTAACACCACGGTCACGGGCCAGCCGATGGTGACCTATGTCCGGGGACTGGCGACCACCGCGGCCGGCTGCTGGGGCGCTCCGCCCAGCCTCAGTTTGGCGTGACTAGCAGCCACTTGGCCACGATTACGGTATGAGCTATTTGTTTATGCGTTATGCCGGCCGTAAGTAGCCGCCCCAGTGCCAATTGGCGGTTGCAGGCAGGCGGTCGCGGATGTGGCGGTCGCCGGCGGTTTTTGACCGAACACCGACCGGCTCTCAGGACGAGGAGGGAGGGGTAAGGGAGGCTCAACCACGCAGGGCGCCGACTAAACTGCCTCCTCATCCTGCTCTGTTGTTTGGCCCGCCTGCAGGCACCCAGCCTTTTTGGGAATTCTTTCTCGTTTGATTTAAAGACAGAAAGAACCTCATTTTTATTTTGCCTTGATAATGTCGTCTTTTATTGTTTTTGTATAATATGCTTTCAATGATTTTACCTTTTTTAAATTTGTAGGTCATCGGAAAATATTCACCAGACACTTGAATAGCATTTTACCCAAGGCCATTATTTAAAAATTATCTTGAAGAGGAAGTGCGTCCAGCGCCCTCCCGTCAGTCTATGGGACTCGGCTCTCAACTCAGTCAAATCCTACTAGCCGTTAGGACAGACCTCCCACCCGGACTGCCGGACACACGGGCCACCTCTGGCGGCCGGACTGCAGCTGCGCGGTGTATTGGTATTCGGCGGCCACCACCACCGCCAGATTTACGACATATCAGGGCGCTCCGGCTAAACCTAATGCTCTGCGGAGGTGTGCTTCAGTCGTAACTTTTTACAGCCGAATTAGAGCACGCTTTATTGATGGTCACGTGCTTATGTTAACAAATGAACTGCCTCCGCCGAACAGACCGGTGGTAGACATTACTCACTCAGTGTATTTGATCCACAAAGAGTGAGGCCCGCAAGGATAATTTCCAGGCATGCAGGCATTTCAGTTTTGGTAGGTATGATATCGTGACTCACCTGACATGCTCAGACGTTGTGAGCGTCGATCAATGATCATTCCTTGCGGCAGGTATGCTGGTCAAACAAGGTACCTAGACATATGTTGATTGTCGACTGAGTCAGTGACTGGTGAAGCACATTTTAAGCACATATTCATCAGAATAACTAGTTTGGTCACCAGCTAAAGGTCATTATGTTACGCTACGAACATGTAAATATGCTGCTAAAAGTACCTACCAGGCATTAACCCACTACACGTTTATGACCACGACCGATTCACCGGTGTTGGTTATGTCGAACGTTCGATGCACTCAGGTAGATGGCAGTAAGTCTTCTCGGGTGCATCGCATCACCATTATCATAAGCTATTTGGCATACCTACCTATCCGTTGAGTTTTGACCAGATGGGCATCATCGGGATTCTGAGACAATGGGTTACGCAATCGGCAGTACCGTTAACAATATATAATATGTTCATGAAAAATGTGTGTAGCCTATAAGTAAAGAGGTAGCAACGATAGATCCAGTGGCGAAGCTATTAAAACTTCAACTTTGTTACGCTGCAGGTAGGGGTCCTTTTCGAGCAACTTAATTTGTGCATTTTTCTGTATTTCGTATTTTATGGCAAATTTCTTAAAGAACTTTTCGAAATTTTCAAAAAGGTTATTCAGAGCATTCACTGTTCAATTCCACGTCAGCCTAAGCAAAAATGACGAAAAAAACATCAAACGATCTTCATTTTACAGCGATTTTACTAAACCACTATCTTACTGTCTCAAATAGCCCCACTTTACGGTACATGTAATCAGGGTTACTTTTACGGGAAAAGTCGAGAGGGGGAATAAAGTTCAGGGCAAGGGCGGATCCAGGGGCATCTGAAAGGGAGGCCCAATGCCATTAGGTTTTTGTTAGGATGGCGCCTGCAGAACCTTACCTACCCCCAAATCCTACTCTCTCCCCGGATTCTGGCCACTTTATATTGTTAGGTTGCCAAAAAATAAATTAGCTAAAAAATATAGGTAGATACCTTGGCGGTAAGGGGCGGAGGAGATCCCAACTTGACTGCGCCCATGCAAATGTCAATCAGTACCTAGTATGAAGTATCAACCTATTACCCTGGCCAAACATCAAGTACACACAGAAAAATATTGACACCGTTAGCGGTGTAATTGCACAGTACATATCTGAGCACTTGAGGAAAGTTAATTTAGTCCCTTCCCCGCTTAAATTACTCGCGCTTCTAAATGAACACCAGGAAGAAGGTAATAGAACACTGTTAGGAGGGTTGGGTGTTTTACTACATGTAGCAAAACACCCAACCCTCCTAACAGTGTTCTATTACCTTCTTCCTGGTGTTCATTTAGAAGCGCGAGTAATTTAAGCGGGGAAGGGACTAAATTAACTTTCCTCAAGTGCTCAGATATGTACTGTGCAATTACACCGCTAACGGTGTCAATATTTTTCTGTGTGTAGCGCCTTTCTAAATAGAGAGAGGTTAACACGTGACTATTTTTGCTAGGCCAAGACCGATTGAAGGACCCTGGTTCGAAGGAAGACCCTTGGTTCGGAGAGGTCATGACCCCCGTCCCCCGCCGGTTTCTACGCCGACGCCTGGAGGGATATGTCAGTGATTGCGAAGAGACGGAAGAGACAAGAGACGGTCCCACCGACACCGACCATCCAATCGGCATCGGGTCAAATCTGGAGTTCCCGCTGCACTGAACGTAAAATGGTTGGATGGAACCTGAAATTGAAAATAATCTAAGCGCCAGCAACGTTGATTGATGACTAGAGTCTGATCAACGATGATTATAGAATCTGAGTAGCGAATTGATTGAAAATGGGCTCAAAAATATATTTGAAAGGGGGAAATTCCCCCCTCCCTCCCTAGCCGTTCACGCACAATTTGAAAGGGGGAACGGAATTTTCGAAGGGGGGAAATTCCCCCTTTCCCCCCTTTAAAAGTTACCCTGCATGTAATGACAGTACTGCATCAAACAATAAGCTGCCCCCCTCCCGTTGCACGATTTTGAGATAAAACCCTGCAACGGCTCCCGCAATCCGTAATAGCTCCCAACGACGTTGTCGTAAAAGCGCTCTGCCAGGAGTGGGGTTCGAACCCACGCACTCAGACGAGTACCAGAACTTAAGTCTGGCGCCTTAACCACTCGGCCACCCTGGCGCCGGCCTTGGCCGGCTTAGAGTCAATATAGCTGAAGCTAGAGAAGTGATAAGTTCACAACACATTTTGACCAATCATATTTTTGGTATTCCAGTATAAACATGGCTGTTCCCCAACTTTGATGCGCGTGTTCAGTGTTGGTATCCCGTGTTACAAGTTCTCCATATATACCGTGCGCGTGTTGATCAGTTAGCTGTCTTGTGGTGGCAGAAAAAGGAATCTGTAAATGCAAGGCTATATAAAGGTAAATGCACTGAACTCTAGGTAAATGTCAAGATAAAGCGTCACAATTGTAGTTAGGACCTAAACTTGACATATACCAAGGAATCAAGGTTCTCACTTCTTTTTTGTTGATGTTTTTTGGTAGTTTGAGTTGTGGTTCAGGTTGTGGCTGATGATGATTCAGAGCGCACAACTGCGATGCCCGCCCCAGACGTCCAACTTCAACTTCGGTGCTGTCTTAGGAAGTGCCACCAGTCTTTTAAATTAAACATTTGTGTAAGGTCATATATAGTCATTTGTGTAGTTCTGATTCTGCTAACTTTAATTCTGATGACCACGTCAACTTGCTTTTTACTGTTTTCATGCTCTTTTTGGTCCAGCTCAAGTTACCAGTTGGTTCAGATTCAGATGTCCCTAATGACTGATAAAGCAATTAAAGGTATATTTTGTTTGCCTTAGGTACCTTTGTCCTTGCCCACTTCAACTTGCATCAGAGGACCAAGCCTTGCATGCCAATCTTTCATAATCAGAGGGACATCCTTGTCTGAGCTTAACAGAAAACTCCTTTTTCAGGCTGACAGCTGTGATTTAATTTTATTATGACCAAATTTCAAAATTTGAATTCATAACAACCTTCTTTGTTATGCCTTTGTTTGTGATGACAATGCACTATCATGGGCAATCAGATCATCTGTCACCATTGCCGCAAGAGAAGGACTGTGAGTCCACAGGAAACCAGGTAAATATATGTGTAAAATACCTCCTATTATGCCTTATTGCCAAAAATATACTTCACTAATCACTGATACCATCTTCATTCATAGCATTTTTCACACTGTCACTTGCATGTGCCTATCAATTCATCCTATGAACTGTGCTTCTAGTTGTACCATTGTTAGATTGATGGCTTGAAGTTTTTCCTTTTGAGCTTGGAGCTAAATGTTCTCTACTAATATGAACTAATGATTACTCCAAGGAAGGACTTATGGTCACATACCTGTTTTCTTTCCAGGTTAATTCATATTCTGCTGGTGGGATTGGACAATGCTGGAAAAACCACTGCAGCAAAATGCCTTGTTGGAGGTATGCCTTTTCAATATACATGCTTCCTACTTATTTGTGTATATTTTTATATATTTTTGTGTCTGAATCATTACTTATTGCCATTGCTTTTCATGCAAGTGTTGAATTGTTCAAAGGGTTGAAATTGAGGGCTGAATCATTAACCTATACAATATCTCATACCTACATTTTGTACCATCTGATTTTGATATGATCATTGTTTTTCCAAGTTTCTTTCCCTGTTGGATGCCACAACTCAACACATTCAAGGTGAAGTGTCTCAGGGACCAGAATCTGACCTCTCTCCATCTCTCTCCTCCCCCTCCCCCCTACAGAGCCGGTCTCGGCGCCGGCGCCGACGCTGGGCTTCTCCCGACTGGAGGTGCGCCGGCGCGGCTGGACCGTCGAGCTGTACGACGTTGGCGGCGGGCGCGGCATCCGCGGCATCTGGCGCAACTACCTGGCCGAGAGTCACGGCCTGGCGTTCGTCGTGGACGCCGCCGACACCGGCCGGACGGACGAGTGTCGCGACACGCTGCACGCGCTGCTCGGCGACCCGCGCGTCGCCGGCAAACCGGTGCTGATGTGAGTACGGCAGACACGTGGGAGTTGTGTGTTGCCCCACCTGAGGGGAGGGATGTGAACCACCCTGGCCTGTCTCTCTCCCCTGCAGGCTGCACTCCATTCAGGTTCAGCAGAGCTGGTAGACCTCACCTACTCGAAGTCGGGTCCCGACTTCAGCGACATCTATCGACCCAAGCTAGTTTACCTTTGTCAGCGTGCAGCTAGGAAGCTTAGACAAAGGGAGGGAGCTTATGGATGAGATTGAGTTGGTAAGCGAAAGGTAGGCTTTTTTGGCCTAGTCTGCCAAGTGAATTGATACTAACCGCTGCTATATTGCATATAAATTTGATTGAATGATACACCAATTAATCGTTTCTTTTACGATTCGCTCATTTTGACGGCAAACAGCTCAGTTTTGCCGCTCGATCTTTCAGCTCCTTTCAGCACAGTATTGCCGGTGTCTGTAGTGATGTCCAGGTATCGGTTCTCTTCTCGTGGTAGTCTCCATCTGCCGGAACTGCTCCGCGTCACTCCGCTCGTGCGTGGCTCGGCGCTCCGCCCTTCTATCGAGCCTTTGTGGCGGAACGAGAGCGCTACTTAGCTGCTCTCACTCGCCAGGCTTGTGTCATACACGGGTAATATTTGCCGATATTTTCAAATCGGTATCCATATTTATCATGAACCAGTCGTCGAGATCCAGCCTAACTTCGAAGTTCGACACGCGTTGGGTGGAGGTAGCGTAAACTCAGTCAATTTTCTTACGACAGCCATCGATCCGGTTTGTTTGAACGGGTGTTTGCACGCAGGCTATCGTGTCCGATTTTTGTCTCTGCGTGTGCTGGGTTGTCGGTAGTAAGTCGATCTGGACGTCTGATAGCCATTCTGAGCTGTGAGCGGAGTTTACCAGGCGTGGAGGGCGTGACGTGAAAGTGACGCAAGGGATGGTGCTGGGAACTATTATACGGCCTCTCATAGCTCTAGTAGTTTGTTCCTTCTTCGAATGAGGTAGTTTTGGCCTCTCGTATCTCAGCGCTGAAATGCATTACTGATACCTATGTTCCCCCTTTCTTCTTCTGCTTCGTCCAAGCTCTAAAGTCAACTCCAGTATGATGATATGGCTATCAATACGTTTGTCGAGCAGCACTTTTGTTGTCTTTCGCTCGATCCTATTCGTTGGTATGAGGAGCAATTCCAGTTTTGACACGTTTTGGTTCCTTTTTACTGACTTCTCAATTTTAGGTCTTTGTTTTCGATCAAAACAGTTTAATGAAGACCGCAACGCTGTATCACGAAAGGTCTCTGGCTCTAGATTCTCGAGAAGGTCTATGTTTTAAGACTGGCTTTACGTTAAAGCCAATACTACTCCAGTTCGGTTTGACCTAAGTTAATTACCGGTTTTATATTTTATTTGTCATTCCTCACGTAACCGGTTCATCGAATTTTGCGCCTAAAACGTAGTTGTGGACCTTTTATTTCTCCATGCGGCATCTTTTTCTTTACCTCTGCGATTGTACCAAACGACACGGGTGCATTTCGATAAGCTGATCATCGTTCTGCACCTGGATCGAATAGCGCAAAAGCTTAAAAACGGCTGTAATCGCTTTACGAAGGCTCGGGTGATCGTCGGCTTTGTGCTTTGGTTAACGTCCAATAAGAGCGCCTGGATACCATGCAAGTCCGCCGCTGCCACCGTCTGTCGTCCCTGTGGAGCCTGGTGCGCTCTGTGGTGTGCCTGCTGCTCTGGCTGGCCGGTGCCACCCTCGACTTTCTGTACCAGCTGGCAGTGTGCTCCGTCTGGCTGGTGGTGAGCGCCGCGCGCGCTCTGCTGGCGCTGACACTAGAGGCGGCGCGGGTGACCGGCTGGCTGGCCTACTACGCCGTGCGCACGCCGCTGTCGGCCGTCGTGCAGTGCGCCGCCGCGCTCCTCTGGCTGGTCAGACTCGTCGTTTCTGGTGTGCGCTTGTCCATCGTCTATGTTGGCCTTCTTTTTGTCACTGGCTGCCGCTGTGTAGGCGTCTTCCTGCTGAGAAACGCAGTGCGCCTGTACCGTGCTGTTGCGACTCTGCGATCCGCCTGGGCTGCCATCGTCCGCTATGAGGGCCATTGGCTCGGCAAAAAACGCTTCACCGGACTGATTATGAGTTATTTTCGTAAAAAGTGTCCGCAGCATGTACCACCATCTGTTTGTGAATTGGTTGAGGATAAACTGAAAGATGTGTAAATCTGTTTTGTTTTCTTTGCATGCTGTTCGTTCCCATTCCATGCAATATTCCATTTATGTGCTCAAAATCAATCGTTAAACATCTGGATAAAGAACTGCTACTTATAATAAAAAGTGTGCCTAGAGTTACATAATACATCGATCAAATAAGACATACAATGGGTCGACTTGGTCTCTCCTTGGAACTAATCGGATGTTTCGGCATGAAAGCCATTAAAAGAGCGTTAGTAACAGTGCCACGCGAGCCCATTTACAAAAATCAAGAAAGTGATAATCTAAATTCGGAGTTCGCGTCGTCAACAACTTTCTATGCGTGTTTTCATGTTATTTACATTTACTTAGAATATTTTTTTTTGCTATGTACACTTTCTACTCTAGTAATTTTCCCCCCTACGCTCATATTAAATCAGCCTCAGCGTAAGAAAACATGGACGAAGAAGATGAAGCAAAAGATTCTGTTTGCCTCCCACTCGCCGTAAACGCTCATATACCGTCTTCATAATGAAGGAAGCCCCTGAAGAGGGCATTTTATCGTCCCTGTGGAGCCTGGTGCGCTCTGTGGTGTGCCCGCTGCTCTGGCTGGCCGGTGCCACCCTCGACTTTCTGTACCAGCTGGCAGTGTGCTCCGTCTGGCTGGTGGTGAGCGCCGCGCGCGCTCTGCTAGCGCTGACACTAGAGGCGGCGCGGGTGACCGGCTGGCTGGCCTACTACGCCGTGCGCACGCCGCTGTCGGCCGTCGTCCAGTGCGCCGCCGCGCTCCTCTGGCTGGTCAGACTCGTCGTTGGTGGAGTCCATTTTTTCTTCTTGGTGGCGATTCCGAACATCCTGTGGGACGTGTGGTCGATCGTGGGCGGTGCCGTCCACCTTGTGTGTGTGCTGGTCTGCATGGTTGGCCTGGCCGTGTGCATTCTACTTTCGGTGACCTGCCGCAGCACGGCGCTAGTGGTCGGGCTCGGATGCGGCCTCGTCAAGAACGTCATGGCGCTCGTGTCGCGGGTTTTCGGCGGCGCCGTCCTGCCGGGACTGGTGTGACCTGGCACATTATCGGCTCTCTTCTGTCGACATATATTTTGGAAGCATCTTACATATGTGCGTCATCATCGATCGCTATATCTACTGCACGTCTGCCTTTCGCGCCTGCTCTTTTGTGTATCCAAATAAACAGTGCATTGTTTTTGCGATGACTGGGGTTTGAATGTTGAACGCATGCTTCTACTTATCAAGCAGCGTTTCTAAAAGAGAATCCATGGGTAGAGATCTCAAATGTGCCTCGTAATTTCCACTGCCCTAGACGGTGCCCTAACCGGTGCCTGATCAATCGAATGCAGCCCAGGCTGTTGCAGTGCTCTGCTCTTCTCTCTCTACCAAGTGTTATGATGTATTTTCGGCGATCTTTTTTATGGAATGTTTTCCGCTCATCCCCTCAACACTTATCTAGCACCAACAAGGGTCCTTGCAATTTTAGCTAGGCCGAGAGCTAAAGGCCTTCATCGTATCGATCTATTCCATGTGGAGAGCTGTTTGTAAAAGCCGTCACGAGCTTTTCTTCGAAAGCCTGTCTCACCTTGCGATCTTCGACGAATACGAATAAGTGCGTCAGATTATGAGTTATTACCTTGCTTGTTACGACTCACCGCGCTGTGGGGTTGTTCAGTTTGTGTTTCTGCTGGTTTTCTATTGCAAGTCAGGAAAACATGATACATTCTTTACTCTATTATCTACCAAGGAACAAATCAGGATAAGCTGAGCCGAGAAATGGCGGTTATATTTCTCACGCTGGCAGGGGCTGTCACTTTTGCCATTCATTGTATATGGTGGTGCTTTTCAGCTGTATTGTATTGCCTTTTTATGTCAGTTTCCGCAGTTGCAACTGCATTGTATTTATGTATCAAAATTTGTGTGATTTGTTTGTTTGAAATTACGAAGAATATTTTGACTGCATTGTACAAGACTCTTAAATTCATTGTAATAGCCATCATTCGAACCAGCGAGTTTCTTATCATCGCTTCATACGTGATGGTGCGGTGTCTTTTATTTATTTACATCCCTCTCTTGATATCGGCCATCATCGCCATACTCAACTGGATCTGCGAGGTGATATGGATGCTAGTCTACAGCGTGTGCCTTGGGGTGTGCGTCGCCATCTCCATCGTATGTTTCTCCTTCAACGCCATCGTCGGCGCCGTCTGCTGCGTGGCCACCATGTCGATGACGCTGCTGTGCGAGCTGCTCTCGGGGACGGTGCAGCTGGTCAGCGGCGCCGTCTGCAGCCTGGTCGGCTGGGCGTGCTGCACACTCACACAGTGCGTGGACGGCACGTGCTCGTGCCTGAAGACGCTGGCCGCGCCGCCGCCGGACCCCCAGGACCCGATCCCGGCCGACCCGACGCCGGACCCGATGGCCGCCTTCTCACTGATCGGGCCGCTGCCGCGCCCCAGCCGCTCGCGGTCGGCTCGTCTGCGGCGGCCGTCCTCCACTGCCGCGCCGGCGCCGCCGGGACCGATCCCCTGCCCGCCGGTGCTGCCGGCGCCGGCGTGCACGGCGGCCGCGCCCTGCCCGCCGGCCGTGTGTGCCGTGCCGGCCCCGGCCCCCTGCCCGCCGCCGCCCCGGCGCCCCGTGTCCCGGGTGCGCGGCTGCCGCTCTCTGGAGGTGGTGGGCACGGCGGCGGGGGGCGCCGGTCAGCGACTGACGCGCAGTATGCCCGAGCAGCGGTGTCGCCAGACCGAGGAGCCGCGGCCGGTCACCCGGCACGTGCACATCCGGCCGGTGCCCAGTCCGTCGCGGCGGCGGCGCAAACTGCGCAGACTGAGACGGGACTGCGACTGGGAGGTGGCGCACGACTGCGGAGTCGACTGCAGAAAGTAGCCTTCCGACCGTCTGAACTCAAGTACCACCGCTCCTCAGCCCAACTGTGGTGGAGCTATGGGAGAACCGATGTCAGCAGGCCGATGATTCTGCATACGGGTTGAAAAACGATTTCCAAATGAATCCACATGGATGTGGATTGTGGATGGATGGTGACTGGGCAACAATATGAATGTGCTGCTTCTATGAATGCCCGTGCACGCGGCTTGTGCAAGTTTTGATGGATTCTGCTAGCATGTGGTGGATTCCAGTGATAATGTTGTGACTTGTGCTATTTATGTGACAATGAACCGTATTTCTGCAACGTCTCTTGTATTTTTTTTTTAATGAAAATACATAAATGTATCTGCACCACCATATGGCAGACCTAGCATGTGGCTGCTAGATAATCGAAATTGGACACACATGCATCCTCAGCTGGGTCTGCTCGAGCCTAACAAGCGAATTTCACACCTTCCATCCATACGAGGCATATTCGAACCACCCCCTGGCTTATAAGTGATGCAATCTTGGCCTGGCTCGCGGGATCCACGAATCTGGTATGAACGTCACACACTAGAAATTTACCGTCCCTCCGGGTCACTGACATGTTGAAATCTTTGCCTCCTTTCATTAATTAATTGAACGATTGATTAATTGATTCGTTCATTCGTTTATTCTGGCATGCATTCATTAGTTTATTCATTCATTCATTCATTCATTCATTCATTCATTCATTCATTCATTCATTCATTCATTCATCCATTCATTTCTTCGTTCATTGTGCTTGATTGATTGATTCATTCATATAACAAACAAGCACTTACCACCTGCATTTCCCAGCTAACCGATCCCCCCCCCCCCCCTCTATCGGCAGCCTGGCCAACAAGCAGGACGAGCCGTCGGCTCTGGACGAGGTGGAGCTGAACGAACGGCTACAGCTGGAGGCGGCCGCCAACCAGCACCGCTGTCCGATGAGGATCGAACTGTGCGCCGCGCGGCCCGGCGCCGCCGCCGCCGGGAAGAGGAAGCACCTCGGCATCCAGACCGGCTTCGAGTGAGTGGCTGGCGGGGAAGGATGGAGGGGGGGGGGAGGGGAGGTTTCTCGGGCTATGGCTATGTTGGTTTATACTGTCAAAATGGTATTTCAGATAAAGATTTTTGGCTGCTTTGCGCCCAAACCGTTCGTGGTTTACTCTCTTTGCATTTTGGTCGGTAGGTATGGTTTGAAAATTGGATGGTGTGCTTTGGCCGATAATTTCGATATGGGATACTCAGAAACCGTGTCTGTTGATAGCATTAGCGTCGCCACGGGGGGGGGGGGGGGGGGAGCTTGCCCCCCAACCTCGGACCGGGCACCCCCTGAGATCGATACAGATTCGATGAGATTTTGGAGTCGGGAAAAATGGGGGTACCTTTCTGAGAATGCCTGTGAGGTCAGACTCGGTTGGAGCGTGCAGTTCAAACCAGAGTCTGACTCGCAGTCGCCAAAATCTTCAAGACTCCGAGTCCAGCCTCGGAAATGTCAATGCTGTGATTCATTCCATGTTCCTAGTTCGTTCTTTATTACATTTTACAGCTGATTTTCATAAGTTTTGGAGTGCTGACACAATTTTCGTTCAAAGCGTGAAACGAAATCTTCGGGGCCTTTCTCAACTCTCGTCAAATGTCTGCGACAGGCTCAAGTAGGTACCGTACAAGTGTCGCAGGGCTCATGAGCTTGCTTTAAACAAAGGCTCCTAAGGAGCTCCACTGAGCCCTAAATAAGCTTTCAGAGGGCCCAAACCGGCCTCTGAAAGTCCCACTGGTGTCCATGTTCTCTGAGGGCCCATACAGGGATCTTTGAGCCTTCGAACATTTCTGAGAACCTTAACTGGCCTCTGATAGTTCAGCCAAACTTTTGAGGCGACAGACTTTGCTAACCCCAAGCCGGCATCTGAGGGGTCACAGCTCACGTGTCCCTCTGAGGTCCGCAACACATGTTTATTATGTCCCTACGTAGGGTCCTTAGGGATTCGACAGAGACCCCGAGGGTTCACACTGTTATCCGAGGGCTCCAAACTCACCCTGGGCCTAGTCTCTCAGCGCCCGCCGCCCACTCTGGCTTCTGAGGGCCCCACCTTGGGCTCGGAAAGCCCTAAAGCACCACGTACACGTAAATATTTGAGGTGGCCCACGCCGATCTCCGGGATCCTAAGCATGCTTCTGAGAGTCAGTACTGACCCTGAGTGGCCTGAAATGGCCTGGAAGTCCCAAACCTATCTCTAAGGGATCCCTTGCCGCTATGCCGTGCGTAACTTTTGGTTCCGTTTAACAGTTTTTGTTCGCGTTTGCAGCGCTTCCCTTCACACGAAAAAACGAGAAACTTTTGTTCACACTCGAGTGAACAAAACACTTCCTCTCACTGGAGCAAAGATGAATTACTTCCGATTCACACTTCCGACATTCACGCTCCGCCGAATGCCCAACTTAGCTACGATCGGCGGCTGGGATAAGTCCTATGCATTTCACGTAAAACCTCTGCATGCATGCGTGAATGGAGGTTTTAGCAGGGTGATCCGATTAAATGGAGCGTTTTTCACCTTTTTCTGGGTAATGATCATGAGCGTCGAGCGTCTGCACAGGGGCCCTCTGCAGTGCGTCGGCAATCGCAGCCACTATATACATACTATAATTATACCAGTCGTTTTTGTCATGAAATTTCAAAATTTCGTGTTTTTCTGTAAAAAAATTACATGTCATAGCTAGAAGGAAACCTAGTTTGTCACCATCGGATTCCTCGCACCATTGCGCGTCGAATGATTACGGAGCGAGCGAAGCGAGCGTAGTCTTTCCTTAGATTAACAGAAATTTCTGAGTATGAGCCAGGGGTGTCGATTTGTGAAAATGGTTGGGGGTGCCCGGAGCTTTAACCCTCGCCCGTATACATTGGGGGGGGGGGGGGAGGGGGTCGAACGGACCCCCTCGGTTTTTCGCGAATAACTCGCGTAAACAGCGGCCGATCACGACGAAACTTTCAGTATTGCCCTCGCGTTGATCAATTTTACACCTATCCTTGAAATTTCATGACCCTAACCCAAATGACCTTTGACCTGTGACCTACTTTTCGAGACCATGTTTGGCCGGAATAGCGATTTGGCGTATGTCGGCTCGCATTAGCCGCGCGTTTGCAGTCTTTTCGTGGTTTCAAGCGTTCAAACATGTGATATGATGTTGCTCCCATGCATTAGGGTGGGTGTCAAGGTCACCTGAAGGTCAGGTCAGGTCATTGACCTTTGATGACCATTGACCTTTGATGACCTCGGTTCACTTTTTCGAGTTTTACATGTTTCTAGGCTAGTTTTTGGAGCTGAATTCGAATTTAGCAACCATATGAACATTTACGAAGTAGTTTTGGTGCCTTCGTAACATGTTACGAAGCTGTCACATATGCTATTGTTTTCGATAAAACTGCATTGTGTTAGTATCAGGGCCTCGGATAACATGTTCACTGGGTGGTCAGTCGCCCACCCAGTAGCGATTTTTTCCCACCCAGTGGAGTGTGTTTGTCCACACAGTAAAGACGGAGACGGACAGCAGTTTTACCCGCGCTGGTCCGTTGCTCAGCGAATTCCGCGCCGGGCCGGGGGTGTGTGTCTAAACACCCCCGTCTAACTCGGCTCCTGGGCCACGTAGCGACAAGCGGTAGGCGGCATTGGAAAGACAGTTAAAATGAAGAGAATAGCTACTTGATCTTTATTAGGTCAGGTCAACGCTCAGGTGACAAGAGGTCATAAAAGGTCAAGTTTGGATTGTTTGAACAATTTTCGAAAACCTGGCGCATAATTTGGGAACTAATATAGCTGCAGCGCCGCGGAAAAGCGCATTCGATAGCTCTTTCAACCTCTTTCGGCAAAGTAGTCCTCAGATTTGACCTCAGGTCAACGGCTTCGCATAAACTCTCCAGAGGGCAAAAACTCCAATAATAGCCACTTATGAAAAAGTTTTTTTTCTGCCATAGCTTTTTACTCGAGAAAGTCATGACATTTATTTTGCCAGCCATCATGTTCTTCTTATCAAGACGCGTCGAATAAACTATAGTTTGACCCAGACATGTGCTTGGATCCGAGAGCTGGATCTATGATCTCAGTGGATCTCTCGACAAAATAGAGGGGTTGGATCTATGATCCGAGTGGATCTCTCGACAAAATTCAGGGGTTGGATCTATGATCTGAATGGATCTCTTGACAAAATTTAGGGGTCAGATCTATGATCTCTGAGGATCCAGCGGGCTAAAATTTGTGGAGGACCTATGATCTGTATCAGACATGTGCTTGGATCCGGAAAAATGGATCTGAGATCCGATCCCATGGATCCCGATCCGAGATCCATTCAGATCATAGATCCAACCCCTCAATTTTGTCGAGAGATCTACTGGGATCATAGATCTGACCCTTCAATTTTGTCGCTAGATCCACTCGGATCATAGATCTGGCTCCCCAATTTTGTCGTGAGATCCATTGGGATCATAGCTCATACATAGGTGCTCAAAATGTTAACAACTTTCTTTCATAAGAAGTTATGAATACCAAAGTATGGTTAGAAACAAACAATCTTATACAAACACCATATTAGTAAAGGCATCCAGTTACATTAAACAGAATACAAAATAAAGGAGGCTCATGACGGTCACAACTTGAGAGAATTGAGTGACATGAAGATTGTTCACAGTTCACATACCAACAGAAAAGTTTGCATTAACAATTAACATAGAGGTAAGTCAAAGTAATGACTAATGAACAATACATAACTAGGTACCTACCACATCACAATTCATGTTAGAATCTACATAATGATATTGATAAGACAATCTCATTGATCTTGCATTAGACAACCATGAGGCTTTCCAGTTTCCAGCTACCACAATTGATTGATAAACAATAAAAGATGATACTGACACACGTGGCTTGGTTAGGTAAAGGTATTTCAATCTATTGAAAGAAATACCTTACCTTACCTTACCTTACGGTGTTCGGGCATAATAAAGGCCAACTCGGCCTGGAGGTCCCGTTCTAACCGAGCTCCTGTCCCTTTTGCCATTTGTTAATCCGTGTTTGGTATATGATACCAGTGATGGCCCCAGTGGGCATCGAGTCTCGCCTTGAACGAGTCCACGGTGGGGGCACTGACCACTTGAGCAGGTAGGCCGTTCCAGTCGTTCACGGCCCTGACTGCGAATGCAGCTCTCCTCAGTCTGCTGACCGCCTCTGGCTTGCGGAGCTTGTGTGGGTGACCTCGTGTAACGGCACCCGTGGCGGGGCAGAAGAGATCCGTGACTTCAACATCAACCCCTCCATGGAACATCTGGTAGGTGAATATCATGTCGCCCCGTTTGCGTCGGTAGTACAGCGATGGAAGTTTCAGAGCCCTGAGCCTCTCTTGGTAGGGCAGGTGGCGAAGGTTGGCCACCATGCGCGTAGCTCTGCGCTGTACCCTCTCCACCAGCTTCTGGTCCGCCCTGTTGAAAGGGCCCCACACGAGGTTGCCGTACTCGAGGTGCGGGCGCACCAGGGACTTGTAAAGCAGCGGCAGCGTGCACTCGTTTATCAGCAAGAATGAGCGACGGATCACAGCGAGAATCTGGTTGGCCTTGGCTACGGCTGCTGAAGCATGTTGTCTGAACTTCAGCTCGTCATCGACTTGCACGCCCAGATCCTTCTCCACCCGCACGACGCTCATCTCAGAGTCTCTCATCACATACTGCTTTGCTGGGTTGTTTCGTCCGAGGTGCATGACCTTACACTTCGCCTCATTGAAGGGGAGTTGCCAGGCGTCCGCCCAGTTGACCAGAGCCTCGAGGTCAGACTGGAGGCTAGACGCAGCGAGAGTAGAGGCTACCGTGGAGTACAGCTTCGTGTCGTCCGCGAACATCGTCAGCGAGGAACCAACAACCTCAGGCATGTCATTAATGAAAATCAAGAACAGTAGTGGACCCAGGACCGAGCCTTGGGGTACCCCGCTGACCACCTCCGACCAGTCAGATGACTGACCATTAATCACTACCTGCTGTCTCCTGGC